CCAGAGGAATAAAAGTTGCCAAACGATAGACAGGAATTCAGAGATGGTTAGAGAATGTCTGCTGGTGTCCAGAATAGCTGCTGCTTAATATAATCCTGAGCTTGGTTACAGCTGTCGTCAGCAACAGGCAGAGCTGGTGGCACTCTGCTGTGAAGATCAGGGGAGATCAAGGGCATGATTTGAGACCTCCCAGCCAGGTGGATGGGTTGCTCCCCAGTTCAGAAAGAGCTGCAGGCTGAGGGTCTGTACAAACATTGAGACTTTTTGTTTGCTTTGGTTGGTGGGATTGCCTTACTGCAGATAGAAGCAGCTTTTTATGTGTTTTTTTTTTTTTTAATTTTAATTATGTTAAACATCACCGATAGCATTTAATTATTGAACTGCAGTTAATAAAGTAATAATTAAAAAATGCCTAAGTTGATAGCATACACCGTCTGTGAGCCTACTGGGACATCATCCATTGGTTCTCATCTTGTGTTTTCTCTGAGAAGCTCTGCAGTAAGTGTGGCCACAGACCTGTTCTGATGCTTCTGCTCTTTTCCTTCCCAGGGATCTGGTTCGAGTGCAGCAGTCCCAGGCAGCTCTGGAGTTGGAACAACCAGACAGTTTACGCGACAAAGGATAACGCGGGTGAACCTCAGGGACCTCATATTTTGTTTAGAAAATGAGCGAGAGACAAGCCATTCACTATTGCTATATAAAGCATTCCTTAAGTAAAGTGGAAAAGATCAAGGTATTTTTGACGGAGAGCCGCCTGAGGACATTTTTTTATATATTTGCAGATTTCGCCTTTTTGTAACAAGCAAATGGGATATTGTTTGAAAAACAGCCACCTCTTTACATGGAACAGTTTTATATTCCTGTTTATAAATAAACTCTTCAGTGTGAGAGAAAATACATTTCTGTAACAGTGAGGATACTTACAAGGCCTGTGGATACTATAAAAGGACAATTAAACTTTAACTCATCTCTTGATTGAGTGGCCTTCTTGCCAAACAAGCCATATATAAAGACTGATGGAATCGTTTAGCAAATAACTAGCTACCCTGTCAGCCCTGTAGCAGTTTTGACATTAATTGTGCGTTTTAGTTCAGTTTTATTCAACTAAATCAATTATATAGGCATATGTCTACAGCAGATGACCTCATTTCATTTAGCTTTTTTTTTTTTTTGAACAGTCAGTTAGCAAAGCAAACTGATTTTTTTAAGGATATTTATCTTTCCCCCAAATGTTCAAAATCTAGAGGGATATACAGTTAATTTTAAACATAACCTCAATTTTAATCACATTATTGCTTATTAGAGGCCCTGAAATCCCGTAAAGGAGGGTTACTTCTGAATGTTTTAGCAGCATCTGTAAAAATGCATTTTATTTGCTATAGTTTGTAAAGCTGTAAAGTTAAAAAAGGAAAAAAAGGAAAAAAAGAGAAACCTTTTCAGCATAAATATATTTTACTTGCACTGTGTTTTTTAGCTAAAGTGAAAGCTTAGATTAAATAAAATCAAAGTTGAGAGGAATCATCAGTGTGAATCAAGTGTTGAAAAATGGTTGGTGTATTTTGTCAGTAATTGTACATAATTTTTGGCACATAACATAAAAATGGCTATGTAAACTATAATTATTTTGCTAAAAGACTGTATGCAAGCTGTGGGCCTACTTTAAAGATGTCCAGAGCAAAGTCCCTTCTTTGTACCTATTTTTTTATTACAAATATACTAATTGGTTCTTTATATTTTCAGAGGTTATTGTATTAAATTGTCTATTGATAGTACTTTTATGACTGTAAATACTTTGGCTTTCTTTGTGTGACCTCTCATGGTAGAATTTAACTCTCTTGCGTGTAAACTGAATGCTGATCAGTATTTTTATCAACACCTGACAACTGTTACACCCCTTTCATTTTGTCTTTTAGGAAATCCTGTCTTTCCATTTTTTTTCATGTAAATTTTGCACAGTTACTTGTTCATATGTAAATATTTACTTTCAAAAATGAAGTTTTTAATTGCTATTGTTTTATATAGGATTGAAAGAAAATTAACTCCTTTATTAAAAACAAATTTATCTGTATTTGCTAATGTATTTTTCTCTCTGAATCTTTTCTCCTCTTGAATTTATTTTTCTTGGTACAGTAAAAGATTGGTCTGCCCGAGGGGATGCTGTTTGCTAAAGATGCACTTTGGTTTTTTATATTGTTTTGTTTTGTCAGTGTTTTGGAGGTATGTAATTTAATCCATCTGGAAGCATCGTTATTGTCTTGGGGATCTCAGATGGAGGCCAACAGCTCGTGGGGTGTTTTGTGTGTTTGGTTTTTAAGCGGGGAAACTTTTTGAAGAGATCTTGAAAAGTATTTGGTTTTGATCTAGTGAAGATGTATTAAAATCTCTGCTGAGGGCAAGTCTGCTTCCTCAGCCACAGTTACTGCAGCAGGATGGTGTGATGCAGAAGGAGGTGTGATAAACATTTGGAGCACAGCTGTGAAAGACCTTAATCAGGGACTCATTTTTGTTTACTAATGTGAAAACCAGAAGGTGTATTTCTGATGCTCTGTACTGAATGTTTTGCTTCTGATTTTTTTTTTTTAATAATTTTCCCCACATGAGTGGTTTACAAAAATAAATAAACTCACAATTGTGAGGGCCCAATCCCCCCTATTAGGTGCATAGAAAAATCAGTGGCTTTGATCATTGTTTCTTGTGTACAGACAAACCTACCTATGGGCTCCTGCTCCAGGTGTGCTGCTGGAAGGCTGCATGTGCTCACGTGGCACAGAGACCCACTGCAAAGCAGAGGGCTGCAGCAGTGTTGTGCTCCCCAATGTCACATACAGCACTTACTGGAAGGTTTTACTTGTTTGTAAACTCCAATCTGTCTTTGGAATGATGTAATGTTGTTAAATGTAAAGGAACAGCCTTGACTTTTGGCCAGATCATTGTCATAGCCTTCCTTCCAGCCACTGAGCACAGAGCTGCGGCAGGTGAGTTGGGAAGAACCTCCTGACCTTGGTGTGTTGCTTTGGGGTAAGGCATGCCTGAGAAACTGGAGCTGTTTGGCTCTCTGCCATCCAGGCGGAAGGCTGGGAAGTGCTGGAGCAGCCAGAGGAATTGGGCAGAGGAGGCAATCTGTAAGGCTGCAGCACTTGGTTTTGGTTTACATCACGTCTGGAAGTGCAGTCAGCCCTTTGCTCCGTGCAGTTCTTCCCACCCAGTGGCAGTCCCTGCATTCCAGGCAGGAAAGTTGGTGAGCCCTCCTGTAGCTCACATAGTTGTGGGCTGAGATTGTAGCTGGGTTGAGCTCTGCCTCCTGTGGCTGTCTGCCTACTTCTGAGATGTTCTTCTGGCAGGTCAGCTGTACATGTTATTAATATATTAATAAGATGGTGACTATTTTAAAGCCTCTCAGAAGCTTTATGACCCAGAGCAGAAGTTGGAGCTGAACACAGTGAATGCATGTGTAGGGCTGGACAGCCCTGGTGCCTGCAGGGAGGGGAGCTCTGGGCCTTGGTGCAGCTGCAGCCCTTCACTATAAATCTGCAGCACCTCTGCATGTGACCTGCAGGCCCTGCACCCTGCCTTATGTCAGCCTTGCTCTACTTTAACACCTTTGATTAGATGGTGTGTAGCTGTAATGCTCCTGAGCTACTGCTATTGGTTTTTTTCTAGCACAGAAATCCAGTGGAACCATTGAGATACAGTGCACTCTGATTTGAGCCTGGTTTTCATATTTCACAGCTTTGCAATTAAACTGATACGCTTTCAAGGCATTGAAATATGCAGGGAAAGATACCTGCATAGACACTGATCGATGCCACCCAAGTTCCCAACAGCTCAGATTTCATTGGAGACCTCAGTCTGATCCAAGAAATTTCCACATCTTCATTAATGGTCTGAATTACAAATAACACATTAACACAGCTGTCACTTCAACAGTTTTGAAACTGGCAGAGAAGAAGAGTTAACACTTGGGGTGAGTCAGAATCCTGCTTAGTTGTTGTACAGCTGATACACTCAAGCAGCAGTTTCTCCCTCGCCTGTGTATGCAGATCCATGCATCCAGTTGCAAACCTTTGTACTGCGTGTTACATTGTGAAGAGCCTCTTTAGAGACTTCCAGTGCTCCTGCAGGGCTGTTTGCTCATCTGGGCTTTAGGCAAGTGCTGGCTGGGTGCTTCAGTTTGCTCCTAACCTTTGATCGGAGCACAGCGTGGCTTCACTTCAGCACTTGTGTACTTCTCAATCCAACAGCAAACTGAAGTCTCTCTCTCTATATAAATACACACACATATATATATAAATAATGTAAATAAATTTGCATGTGCTTCCTGGCTTTTTGTGCTGCCTTTAGTGCTCTAATTTCACACCTCTGCAATGGAGCACTGCCCAGCTGTAGGGATGGGGCTGAGATGGGTCTGTGTGATCTCAGCCCCATCCCTACCTGCCTCTAGATCTCTCTAGAGTTAGGGTACTACGGTTAGGCTGCAGTTGGACTTGATAATCCTTGAGGTCCCTTCCAACCTGAGTAATTCGATGATTCTCCCAGAAGGCGGTGCTGGATGCAGAGTCCTGCAGGGACAATTCTGCTGTTGCCACACAGGGCCCAGTGCTTTCTTCCCCTTCTGTAGGAGCAAGGGAAAGCTGTCAGGTGGCTGTGCTGGGACTGATCGCTCACACTTGAAAAGTAATAGCTGAGTGCCTCGAATTTAATGTTTCTTGGCTCTTTCTATCACATATCAGTGTCAGCCTTACCCCGTTGCCTGCTCGAGGGCCAGGTTGGTTTGAAGGGGAGCGGTGCTGGATGTTGCCAATAGCGCAAGGCAACACTGAAGCGGGTGCCCAAGGCGTAAAGCCGGCTGTGCAGGGTAAGGGAGTAGCAGCGGTCAGAGGGCAGCTCTGTGCTGCGGGCGGAGCTTCGCGCTCCGTTCGGGAGATGAGCACCGACAGCGCGCTCGGAGCGGCTGTTTGCTTCCTGCGGCCGTCCGTGCTGTGCGCTTCTGTGTCCGCGTGGGGAAAGGCAGAGGGGAAGGGGTAAGAGAGCTGCACCGCACGGCCGCCCCGTCCCGCATAGTTGAGGCATCGCTGACGCTGTCACAGGGCCCCGGGGCCGGGAACCGCTCGCTAATTGCAGCCCGTTCATTAATAAAGAGCCGAATCCGCTCCCGGCCCCGCGGCGGGCGGCAGGGGGAGCTCCGAGCCCGCCCGGCTCCATCCCCGGCCCCGCTCCGCCCCGCACGGGGCGGCACGTCTGCCTCATTGCGAGCCACAAATATCTGTTTGCTGGGAGGTAAATAGGAGAAAACGCGAAGGGGAGGAAGGGTGGATATAGGCTCACTGATAAAGCGAGAAAAACAAAGCTTCAATTAAAAATAATAACAATAATAATAAAAAAATGCGGGCAGCTCCGTGCGCTCGGCAGCTCTGACCCGGGGCTGCCCCGCACTGCTGGGTGCTGCGTGCGTTGGGAACGGCTGCCAGGGATCGCTGCCTTTCCAGGTCGTTAAGTCCTTTGCTCTTTAGCTTTTTGCCTCCTGAACGCCCCCGAGGTGTGTTATAATCACCCCAAAATGCAACTTCTAATTGTTCGGTGTCCCCGCGGGGAGAGGGAGAGAAGAGCTGCAATAAATTGCAATAATCAGCGCTCGGGCAGCAAACGAACCCCGACCTCCTGAGGGGAGGGAGAAGGGGGGGCAGAGCTGTGCCTGGCTCTTTGCAAAGGGCCGTGTTCAGCGGTAATCTCATTTGTAATCTAATCAATATGTTTACTGAAGGGGAGAATATCATCAAGTATTACTTTAAGACACTTAGGAGATGTGACAGCGTTCAGAACGGGGATAACGGGGATGTAAAGGCATTAGGTGGCTGGGTTTGCTAATGGCAGCACACAGCAGCGTGCCGGGGGTGGGGGGGGAGGGGGGTGTGTTGAGAGGGGAGGTGGGCACGGGGTTGTCCTTTAGGGTCCCTCCGTGGGGGGACAGCACAGTGCCCTGTGCTGTGCCAACCCCTCTGCCCCATTCACGCATCTCATGAATGCAGTACTTTTTCCAGAGGGGGTCAATGTAGGATTATAAAAACTCACTTTGGTTGTGCTTTCTGCTGGGAGATGTCTCATGTCGCGCCTCCAGCACAGCTCCCACTCTCTCTGCTGTTGGAACAGTAAAGGGACACTGAGATCTCCCTTTCAAAACCCTGTGGGAAGGCTCCCAAAATCCCAGGGCATAGCCCTGTGCTGCCAGAGCAGCTCCTTAGTGCCACTGCTGTGCAGAACCTCCCCCCAGAAATGAGGGCTGTGGTGGTCACAGGGTTCCAGGTCTCTGTGGCCCATCCCAGCACAGCGCCAACATTGAATCACAGAATCATTAAGGTTGGAAAAGAGCTCTGAGATCCCCAAGTCCAACCCCAGCCCACCTCACTGTGCCCACATCCCTCAGTGCCACATCTCCATGGATCCTGAACAGATCCAGGGATGGTGACCCCACCACCTCCCTAGGCAGCTGTGCCACTGCATCACTGCTCTTTCAGAGAAGAATATCCAACCTGACCCTTGGTGGTCTCAGCTGTAAGATGCTGCTAGAAAGCAGCAGCTGTTGTCAGAGCCACAGAGGTGGGAGGCAGAGGATGGACAATTGGACTTTCATTTGTTGTTCTGTCTAGTTGAGGAACTGCAAGATCTGGTTTAGTAGCTTGTGGTAGCAGTGGTAATGTGAAGATGGTTGGACTAGATGATCTTACAGGCTGTTTCCAACCTTGTGATTCTATGCTAAGTTTGGAGGCTTTAGTGAATACATATTGGGCAGCATATAGCATGTATAACAGACAATTAGGCTCTGAAGGGCCCCTGGAGGAGTGCCCTGCTCACCCCAGCAGTTACAGTCCTGAAACATGAGCATTACACATCTATAAGTGTATACAGTATTTCCCTTATAAAATTTGCATTCTATCTAATGTATCCCAAAGCTCTTTAAAAACCTGAAAATACAAGTTCCAGAGTTTGGGCTGCAGAATGGATGGAGGCTTAACTCACTGCAGTCATTGAGGTCTGGCTGCCGAGGGGATGCTGTGCTCTATGGAGGCACCAATGCTATAGGGAGGTGGGATGGGACCACCACTATGGATCCAGACCAGAGCACCAAGTTCCACTTGCAGCTCCATCCTTGCACCCACCCCCCCACTGCACAGCACCTTAAATCTGGGCTAAACTGACAAGGAAGCTGGTAGGGAAATAAAGCCGACAAGAAAAATAAATGCTGCCCGTTTAATTATTTAAATTAAGACTTATTTGAAAGCTGTGTTTGCAACAAACACCCTCCTCCCCTTTATTTTTTAATGAGCTCCAGTGCATTGAAAAAGAGAAAAAAAAATCCAATAAACTCCCCCTTGCAGTTTCTGAACATGTTTAATTAAACAGGTCAGAAAAAAGCACTCCTGCACCGCCTGAGGAACTGTGCTGTCAGCACTCCTGCCCAGCAGCAATCCCAACCTGTGGCCCTGCAGGCTGTGGGTTGGGGCCCCACACAACCCAAGAGAGGTTTGGGGTGCAGGGCAGAGCGCTGTGGGGCTGCTCCCAAGGGCCAGCCCTGCTCATGCAGAGGCACTGCCACATCCTCAGCACTGATAGTGCAGAGGAACAGGCACATCACTTGCCTGGGCTGAAGGGATTTGTGGCGGGGTCTCAAGTATTTGAAAACAAAAAATCAATCTGCCCTCTGGTAGGGCTGGGGAATGGGAAGGAACAGAGCAGGCCAGGAATTGCTGTGCAAAGCCTGTTGTCACCAACCTGCACGTGCCTGGAGGGGACTTTGCCTTGGTTCTGCTAACTCTGCAGCACTGAGAGGAGTAACACTGATACTGTGGTCTGTGCATGCCTTAAAAAAGATGCATTGGGATGCTAATGTTGCTGGTTGTCACCATGTTTTGAGAAACAGAGAAAATGTAATAGATCCCCCAGATTTGCAGCCTTAATAGCTATATGGCACATCCTAATTATTATATATCTCTCACATCAGTCTACTCCAGTGAGCGTGGTGTTTTTATTTGGCTCCATCTGGTGTATGATAGCATCCCTCCGCCACTGGAACAAGCATGAATCAGGGAGCAAATCTAACACAAACCTCTGCAGAGAATTTCCTTACAAGATGCCCTGCCCATTTAGTCCAACCATTAACCCATCCCCACTGTGCCCACTGACCACATCACTCACAGCCTTTATCCAATTAAATCACAGCCTCCTTACAAAACAGGCCCATCCCAGCACGCTGCTGGTCCTGTCCTGACTCAGGCTTGCACCAACAAATGAATGAGAGGCTGCTCTGTATTTACTGCTGCACTACTTCTAATCATATGTTTTCCCAACAAAGAGTTGCCAGCTTGGTACTTAGAGATCAATACATTTTATTTATCACCTCCAGGCAGGCACCATTTCCTATTAATGTCTTTCCCGCTTTATAGGCTAATTAAGGTCAGCTGACCAGCAGAACGCTGCTGTGTTTGCTTTAAGCCACTCTCACTAATTACTGTTTGAACCCGACATGGTGCCCTGTGTCAGATGGGTCCCTGCTGTGGGCTCAGTGTTTGCTGCTCCTGCGGCAGCAGCCAGTGAGCACTGGGGATGGTGCACGTGGTCTCTTGTGATGCTTTTCTGTATTTTATTATTTGGGAGCTCCAAAGAGGTGCTGGAGGCTGCTCAGCACTAAGCCAGCCTGGTGTTCCATATGGGAGCAGGGCGCCTTGCTGGAGGATGGTATCTAGGGAAGTTGGGTGGGATATCTAATCTGAGCTCCAAATGTTCCTCAGTGGGGCATCTCCAGGGATGAGAGGTAATGTAGGGAAAGTCAGGTTGGTATTAGGAGAAATTTCTTCTCTAGAAGAGCAGTGATGCAGTGGCACAACTGCTCGTGAAATGGTAGGGTCACCATCCCTGGAGATGCTCCACAACCATGGAGATGTAGCACTGAGAGATGTGGGCAGTGAACATCATGGGGTGTGCTGGGGTTGGATTTGGGATCTTAGAGCTCTTTTCCTATCTCAGTGAGTCTATGACCTTGCACGGTGTATGTGTAATGCTATAACGTGATGGAAAGTACTGTGATAATAGTAGGATGGCAAAGCTGTGGATACAGAAATGAAGAAAAAGAGCTGCTTACCTTCAGAAGATCTCCAGCAGGTAAGGAACTCCAGCAAGATACCTTCCTTTCCACTGCAAACCCTTAAATGAGGTCTGGGAAGGGGTGGATCCTGGCTCCAGCCCTTCCTGTCACTCAGGTCCATTGCATACAGCTGAGCTCCCCTGGGTGGGCCCTGCCTTCCCACCAGGTGCTCAATCATTGCTTCTGGCCATGACTCAGCACAGTCAGCCCCATGCTTTCAGCACTGGTGTCACTGATGTCAGCATGGTATCACAGCTGGTTTAGTCCCAAATAACCCCCAAGCCTCTACCTACTTCTCCTCTGTGCTTAACCCAAACTTCTCAGAATATCTCACAGTGCAGAGCCATTTGTTCAGTGCCACTTCTCTCATTGTCACTAGTGATAGGTCCCTGAATGTAGGACACTGCCCAGAAGGGAGCCGTGCTTCTCCTGCTGGAGTGAGGATGTGGTCCCAGAGCACTGATGGGGCGCTGATCGAGGTGCATTTCCCCCCAGATTTTGCTCCATGGACCCCATTCTATGAATGCTTCAAGAACTTTGGGTGTGCCTTTGCTGTCCTCTGCCTTGCAGGAAAATGCAGCTTTGTGCTTTGCTCTGCAGATCGCTGTGGTGCCCAGCTGTGAGCTCCATGTTTGTACTGCACAGTGGCTTTTGCCACTCACCACAGCAAGCAGCAGCTCTGCCTCTCTCTCTGGCTGTGCTGTGATGGCTTTTGTAGGTACCCCCATATCTGCGGGGTGTCCTGAGATTGCTCACTCCAGGTAGCAGCCAGTGCCACCGGTGTAGCCCTGTCCCTCTCAGCATTTATCGCCATTTCATCTCCATTAATGTTAGCAGTCTCTCAACAGGACCACAATGGCCCCATGGCCACCACCCTGGGACCACTCCCTCTGCACTTCTCCAGTCCTCCTCTGTCCCCTCCCGGTTTGGCTCCCCCCAGTCCCTGCACCCCTCAGCCATGGCCTGGTGCCCAGGAGCAGCTCCAGCGTGGCTGAATGGTGCCAGCGAGTCCAATTATGGGGCTGAAATGCACTGTTCTGTGAATGCGTTCCAGCGTTGGCTAATACAGGCTCTGATATTGGCACTGCTTTTGCTAATATTCCTGCCAGCAAATTCTGCTTGAATATTCATGGGAAGTGGATGCAAAGGAAGTCAGAAACTGAAATGAGGTGAGTTCAGTTAAGAATTCAGGCTCACAATGCAGAGGCCATTTCTTGCAGCGCTCACCCAGGCGTTTGCTCTCTCCATTAATTTGAATCTGTGTTTTGGACTTCTGAGCAAATTTTCTGTTTCTCCCTGACTGCGGCTGCAGCCTCCCCCCCCCCCAGAGATCAGCAGCTTTGTATAAAAACAGCAATGCTCCATGCTGAACTCTGCAGTCAAAGGATTTGCTTTCCCTGACTCCTATTTAAATGGTTCTGCCTTCACCTCCCTGTGTACGGATCAGTGCGTGCTGTGTTCTGTGCTGGGATTGGAATGATTCGTGCTCAGGCAAATTCTCATCTGAACTCATCAAAGGAGTTTGGTGTAATTAAATGCTGATCACACCTTCTTTAGCCTCTCCTAAACGAAGTCACAGTGCCAGAACAGCCTGCAAGAGGCAGGAAGAGCTCACGTGCACACAGTGCTGTGTTGCATCCACCACCACCATCTTCCCTTGGTGTTTTATGTAACGTGTTTTTAATTCATGACAGACACAGTCCTTGTAGGTACAGTGGAGCAGCAGCAGAAACCTGGATCCTGCCATAGTGTTCATTAAACCCAGATGAGTTTGGCTTGGGCCAAAGCATGGCTGGGGGCTGCACAGGGGCTGCAGTGCACAGCCGTTCCGACCTGCCATGGGTCTCCTTCAGCCCGTGGGTTTGGATGTGCTCATTTGGCTGGTGATGCCCCTGGGGACAAGAGGGGCTGGGCAGGCTGATGGCAGAGCTCTGTAGTCTTTCCAGGCATCATGGTAAAGCATGGCTCCCCATGGACTGATGCTCTTGTTTAACTCCATGGAACTGGGGATGCTCAGACACCTCCCCCTAAGGGACAGGGTTAGATATGGGGCATGTTTGGGGCTGTGTGTCCCCCAGCACCAGGGGAAGCAGCTTGTTGTGCCCAGCATTGCTCCATATGTGCCTCCTGAATGTCACCATTTCTAGCAAATGAGGGCTGAATGGGTTATGAAAGGCAGAACGAATGATGATCATCCAGGTGGGTTCCAGGTCCCACCTTGCATCTCCAGCATCTCAGCTCCTTTGTGTTTTGATACAATCCAAGGGATGGTGAAGGGATGCCATCTTCTTCTGTATCAAAGTAATCCCCCAGAGATGCTAGGAGCCCCATAGCCTTGATTTCTGTTCTTCAAAAATATGTTAACATGGGAACTAAATGGGAAGCAGTGACTGTGGTGGGGGAAGAGCTGCCCAAATCCCTGTTCCCAGGACAGGGACCCATGGGGTGTCTGGGAATAACCACCAGTGGTGCCCAATGCAGGGAAGGAGCCAGCTCATCTTGGAGCCATTCACCTTGAGCTTCTGTTGAATCCTCCCCAGATGAAGCATCCTTGAGCCACCACTGGAATTTTTGTAGCAGAGATTTCTAAAAAGGGGGAAATTCTTGCATTAATTACAGTTATAAAGATTAGGTTTGACACGTTTATGGCCGGGATAGTAAATAACTTCGGGCAAATCAATTTACTGCATTTGGCTGCAGAGGTGTGATGGAGAGCGGACAGGAGGGCTGCGGGGGTGTGGGGATGGGGCTGGGAAACTGTGACCTCCCTCCATGCTGGGGGCTCAGCCCTGGGCCCTCTCTGCCTCATGGCCGCTGCCCAAATTCCAGCTCTCACCGCCAGCTGTTGGCATTTCCTTGGCTTTGCCAAACTTTCCCATTTATTTCCCATCCCTCCCCCTTTCCTTAGGGACTGTTTGGATTTCTGAAAAGAGCGACCCCGAAATCCGACTTTATGCTTCAAACAGATATGGGGGGTGGTGGTGGGGGAGCTAGAAAGGCAGCCTCACTTTTTATTATTATTTTTTTTTTTGCTTATGGCAAGTGGTAAGCATGTTTTATTTATGTATTCAGAGATCCGCCAACGTTATGTTTTCCTCCTGACTGATGCATGGGCTGCGCTGACAGCTTACACCACACCGGCTGTGCACGAGGCTTATTTACCCTCTGCAGAAAGCAGCCTGAGATTGACAGCGAATTATGCTGCACCTTGAACCTCTCCTCGCTTAATGCAATGCAAATTTTACCTCTTTATTAAAAAGTGATTTTTTAAAGAGATGCAATTTTATTTTATTTTTTTGTTGTTGTTCCTTTCTTAGATGGTAAAGACAGAAACGTCTTTACAAAGTTGAGTGACTTCTGCCTTCCACCTGTCCTGCTCTCTGTGTAGGTGCTGAGAGAGATGGGAGCCGTGGCTGTGAGCTTCTTCACTCCTCCTGTTACTGTTGGAACACGGATGGCTTCTGGAGGACTGAGCTGCACTGTGCACTTCCAGTCTCCTGTCATTTTCCAGTTCTGCTTGTGGAAAGCCATTCTTCCAGGCTTCTCTTGGAAACACTTTGTTGAGCCCCACTGGTGGAAACCTGAAATGGACAAAAGCCAATGCACAAAATGAGCCCCATCACACTCAGCTTGTGTAAGGGGCACACGGAGGTCTCTACTTATACTCCTCAGGAAGGACTCGTGTGGTGTGCTGGGGTTGGACTGGATGGTCTTGGAGGTCTTTCCCAACCACAGTGATTCTGTGATTCTGTGGAAATGGCAGCAAAAAGCACACACGTGCTGGGGCTGCCTCTGGGAGCAGCTGCTCAGGCACATGTGAGCACAGTACATATGTATGTGCACATGTGTGTGCTCGTGGCCCCTTTGCTCTCTGCTGTGGCACAGCATCACTCCCACGTCCAACCCAGACTGGAAAGTATTCTGGCAAAATCATCCTAGAGGAGGCTTTAGCAGCGTGCAGTATGGAACACATCCAGCACTGTGGTTTTCCAAGGTAACAGCCGAAGGAAAGGATAAAAAAAAAAAAGGTAAGAGTGAGCTTTTGTTGAGTAATTAAAGAATTGAGGCTTGCTGGAAAGCCCCAGGGCTGTGCTTCCGTGGCTGATCGGGAGCCTTTGTTTGCACGGCGCTGGTAAACAATTTGCAGTTCTTGGCAATAACCTGAGTTATGCTGAACAAAAGGGAAGTTGTAAACGCTGTTCTTATGTATTTATTTCAGGCTGGAGGAAGGGATGAGGCAGCGGGTCTCCGACAGCGGACAGTGTTCATTGAGGTCGGTGTGAGGATGCCCTCACTTCTCCAGCTCTGCCCACAGGATGCTTTTTGGTAGATAAATAAATAAAACTGGGGATGAATCTGGGCTGGTGCTCCTTCCTTTGGAGCAGGTCTGCCTGGTGCTGTGTGAGCAGCGGGGCTCGACACACACAGCATTAATATGCTCTGTGTGCATCCTGGCTGCACGCGCACGGCGCGGAGATTTGCATGCTGAATTTGTGCTCCTGGAGCCCGCACACCCACGTCTTTAATTAAGCAATGCCCCGTGTTTCTGCTCTATAGGATAACTGAATATATATATATGCAACTCTAATGCACAGGAGATAATTTTGTAATGATTTTTCTGTTTGTTTAACTGAGCAGGATGTTAACTTGGTGGGTTAGCCTTACTGCAAGCTGCACTTAGTTGGGAAAATAAATAAGGCTGCGATTCCTCAGCTGGCACCAGCAAGGGATGGTGGTCTGGCATGGCTGGGGTTGCCTGAATCTAATGGCTTTGGGATGGGGCTAGGCCAGGGAACATGAAAACTGGAATAAAGAACAGGGGGCTCCAGCTCTGTGTCCCCACACTGTGGTCTTGCTGTTCCCACTGGGGCCCTGCTGGTGTCTGCAATGGATGTCCTGCCTTGGGACTGAGCCCCTTCAGTGCTGCAGCCAGGCTGAGAAGGCCCTGCATGTCTCTAAGGAGAAGCTCCAGGTGGTTCTTTGAACGATTGACTGCCCAGCTGGGCCAGGTGGCATTCTGCAGTGAACAT